ACCCAGCTCAAGGGGTGGGCTAGGTTCACACCAGGGAAGGGGAGACAAGCTATCCCCAAGTGAGCACAGAGTGGGAGCGGCAGGCAGGAAGTGCCTTCCAGATCCCCCACCCCAAAGGAGGGTTTTGGCCCCATGGGGAGTAAAACAAAGATATACAAACACACCCACAAACACACTCACACTCCCTCTCTCTCCGCTTGCCCAGGCCAGAGCACACCGCTGTCCCTCACCCTGCTCAGCTCACACCCCTCCCCACCCTTCCACCCTGCTGTATTCTAGATCCACTCGGTGCACCAGCGCCGAGAGGTCCAGGGCCGCTCCAAGGACTTTGATGTGCTAGTGGCAGAGCTGAAGGCCAACTCCCGCAAAGGGGAGTCTCCCAAGGAGAAGAGCCCAGGGCGCAAGGAGTCCGCTCTCGAGCGCTCCTCCCAGGAGCTTCCCTCTTCAGTCCAGGTTGTGGCAGCAGCGGCTGTGCCCAGCAGCACCTTTTCTGCTCGTGCCAAGCAGACCTACCCATACTGTGCACTTCCCAGGTATGTCCAGAGACTGACCCCCACCTCACCTGGGGATACTCAGCCCCTATGGCACCAGGGAGCCCTGGAGACAGGCACAGGGAGTGTCCTGGAAGATGTGCTCACTTGGATCTGAGTGTGGGGGGATATCTGGGCCCCTGAAGTGGGGTGAAAGCAGGTGACTCCCCTGTTCCTGCCCAAGCAGACCACAATATCCCAGCCTCCCAGAGGTGTGCTTGATCCAACACTCGGGATACAAACATTTTCCCAGCTGCTTCTAACAGGCCACAACTTGTCACTGGGGAGCTGAAAGGGTCAGGGTCCTGGGTGAGGCAGTCCTACTGTGTATTCATTCACTGGCCCCTTCGTGTGCAGAGGCTGCGCTGGACCCCGGGGAGAGCCTGCCTTGCCGAAGGAGACACACACGCATCTCTGCCTGTAACACGAGGGGCAGACACGAAACACAGGCTCAGCTCCCAGACAGGCTCACAGGAATATGTGATGCAAGAAGGGGGTTGAGAGAGTTGACTGGGCTGACCAGAGCTGGGTGCAGTTAAGCTCAGAAGACTTTCTGGAGGAGGCGAATCTGGAGCAGATTTTCCCCCTGAGGAGGCAGGGCCTGGGAAGTGAAGGGGCTGGGGAGAGAATCCCTTGGGAGCTGTGGTCCCGGGCTTTGTCTCTTACTCTGTGAGCTCTATCGTGTCCTCCCATCCTTCCCTTCTTCCTGTTCCTCTAATTACCCAGCAGGGTGTACACCCTGCTTGTGAGCTTGTGGGTTCAGGGACACCCCCACCCTGACCCCATACCAGTCACATTGTCCTCACACCCCCTTTGGCCCCTCCAGGTCCCGGGCCTCCTCTGAAAGTGAGTTGGATGATGAAGGCCCCTGTGGTGGCGATGGGGACCCAGGCCTGTTCCCCTTTCCCCTGCCTCGGGGTGGGGCCCAGGCCTCCAGCGAGGAGAGTGAGGAGGAGGGGACAACTGACGACCTCCACCTCTCCCCTGACTGCCATTATGCAACCCGGCCCCCGCGGCCACAGGCGGTAAGGACCTGGGGCAGGGGCCTGGGCTCGGGGGTACCCAGCCCTCTTGGCCCACAGTATGGGGGGAGGTCAGATCTTGTGGGCAGTTGCCCTCCCTGTAGCTTACGCCCTACCAATCCCATCCCTTCCTTTTGCCTCCAGTTCTGCACCTTTGGGAGCCGGCTGGTGAGCCCAGGATGCTATGTGTTTAGCCGACGGCTGGACCGGTTCTGCTCAGCACTCAGCTCCATGTTGGAACGGCACCTCAGCTCGCACATGTGGAAGTGAGTCCCTTGGGCCCTTTTCAGGTCCCGGTGTACTTGGGCTTCAGAAACCCCAATGCTTCACACCATACCCACTGGTGTGTCCTGGCTCATTGTCAGGAAGATCCCAGATGGGGAGTGGCATGAAGAGGGTGGGGACTTGCCAGTCTGGAGCAGGACACGAGTGGGTGCTTTGGGGACGAATCTAGACTCTTATTTGCTACCTCCAGTAGCTTTTGGGTAACGGGATTGGGGATGCCCAAACTGAGGTTGTTAAATGGATCTGTACACTAGTTCTTAAGTTGGATATCCTACTAGTTCATTCCTTCCTCTCACTGAGCCTTCTTAGTCCTCAGTTCCAGTTTCTCCCAGCAGAGGGCAGCAGCTCTGGGGCTCTGCTGGTCTTTTCTCAGTGGGAGGAGAGACTAGTGTATGGAAGCCTTCTTGTTTGCTTGGAAGTCACAGTGGGGCTCTCTCTTTTCTGCAGGAAGATCCCACCGGCGGCTGAACCTCCATCCCACCTTGTCAGCTCCCCCTTATCTTCTCCTCTTAGCCCGTCTTCTGTGGGCAGCTGCCCACGACTTCCAGGCCCACCCCCCAGACCCACCTGCCCAGCCTCTATACCCCCCACCAAGGACAGCCTTGTACCTAGCTACCCTGCAGGCTCCCCCAGTGTAGCAGCCGCCTGCAGCCAGGCAGAGTGCATGGGTGGCACCCAGGCCATCACTTCACCACTGCCTGCCAACACGCCCTCTCCATCCTTCAGCAAGCTGCCACCTTCCAAGGCCAGCAGGTTGTCCAAAGGCAAGGATGGGGCAGAGGTAGAAGCCCCTTCTCGAAAGCGGAAGTTATCCCCTGGCCCCACCACTTTCAAACGGACCTGCATCCTGGAGCCCACTGGAAAAGGCAAACCCTCTAGCTGCCGGGGTCTGTCAGCCAAGACTAAAACAGCCCTGGGCATGGGGCTTAATGGAACAGTGGGGCCAAGAGTGAAGCGGGCAGGGCCCCTGGACTGTCGGGGTTCCCCTCACCCATCCCCCACACCGGTCAAGGCTTCTCAGCTAGAGAACCGGGGAGCGGCTGGACACTCAGCCAAGGCCCTGCCAACTAACTGCCTCTCTGAGGAGGAGGTAGCCAAGAAGCGGAAAAACCTGGCCACTTACTGCCGGCCAGTGAAGGCCAAGCACTGTCAGGCCGGTGCCCCTGCCGACATGGCCTGCTCTGTGCGCCGCAAGAAGCCAGGCCCGGCCCTGGCCTTTGAGGAGAAGTGCTCTACACTGAAGGTACCAGCCCAGCTCCCCGAAGAGCATGGGCTGAGGGTGGGGAACACGGTGGGTACCTGATATGGAGAAGGTACATGTTCAGAGAAGGAGGAAAGGTGAAATTGAGAGAGAATGTCTGGATCATCTACTTTAGAGAGAAGAGGTCAGCTCTTTCCGTGGTGACTCCAACTTTTGCCTAATGGACCTTCCCTTATACCCAGTCCTCTCCCTTGAGCTCAGGACATACTGCTCCCCCTACCCTGGCTTTTGTGTTAATGAAAGGACCACTTCTTTCTAAATTGGCTGTGGCCTTCACTTCAGGACCTGGAGATCCCTCTGTTCCCCGAAGGAAAGGAGTTTGGATCTCTGAACTGTGGCCCAATGTGCTGGGCCACCGGTTCTTGTTCTTTAGTTCTTCCTCTGGGCATCAGGGCATTGAAGAGCGGGTGTACCACCTAAGGTCCACATAGGCACATGTGTCTACCTTGCAGATGTACCCAGCTCCAGGTTCTCAGGTGTCAGCAGGTTCTTTCAGTGAAGGCTGCAGCGAGGTTTTATTTGCCTTTTCTGTGGGAGCCTGCTTTGAGCTATCTATATGATCTCTACCAGGAAGGACTTCTCAGAGATGGACAGGGATGCTGTCATGATTTAGGCACAAGCAAGATGCATATGAACTTCCCTAGCACCCGTAAGGGAGCAAAGTTTGACAGTTGTTGAGGGCCTGACTTGTGTGTTTGCCCATGTGCAGCTGCGTTTCCAGCTTCACTGTCCAGGCTTCCCCTGTTGGGCTGGCATTCATCTTCCCCTTGCTCAGTTTTACTTACCAGGCCAGCAGAAGAAAAGCAAGGTTTAGCCCTTATAGTTTACGCAGTTCACTGGGTAGGATGACCAGTAGGATCCCCACCCTGATCCTTTCTCTTGCCTCTTGTCTTCCTGCAGTCAAAAGCCCATTAACGAGAAAGTGCCTGCCCATTGCAACGGAGCCTCCAGCACCTCCTCCCCTCCAGATCCCAGCCCCAAGGCTGCTGCCGCTTTTTATAACTTTATATTATTTTTTTTAAGAAAAAAAAAAACTCTTTAAAATACCTCAAGACTGTCTCCCTGTTCTGTTGCTGCTAAGAAAATATAAAGACAGAAACATAGAAAAGGAACAAAAACAATGTAGCAAAATGAGTGTCCTTAGTGTCCCCAACCCCACCCTGGGAAGCTAAGATGATAGGCAGCCAGACTGTCATGCCCAGTGTCTCTGTATAAGTGTGTGTGTAAACACACACACACACACATAGTGTGAACATGTTGGATTTGGTCCCTGGGTTTCTCTCTAGATAGAGTGATGAGGCTTATGACTCTGAATGAACAAGGCTCCCCAGAATCTGGCCTCAGAGACTACTTTCGTCCTATAGGGAAGGAAAGCTGGAGAGTGGGAGGGGAGCTGTACCTCTGGCTCTACTTTTGGGTCTTTGCCCTGGGGGTCTGTGGGAGTTGGCTTGTGGCCCTTCTCTGGTCTACCAACCCTAGACTTCCATTCCCTTCCAAATTACTTCCTCAGTTTCTTTGGCTGTTCTTGCCCTTCCCACCTCCTGCCAGCAGCCTCATTTTCTCAACCATGTAAAGAGTTCAAGCTGGGTTGCCAACTGCTCTCAGGATGTCCCTGATGTCTGCTGGTCAGCTTGTTTTGGTCCCTTTCTTCCTGGCCTGTGGGTTTGTCTTTAAAGATGGAGTAGAGCCTCTCCCAGGTAGTTACTCTTTAGGCAGGACCACACCTTTGGGGAGGTAGGAGGGGAAGGGCGTTGCAGGACTTGGGGTGGGGGAGGCCTGGTTCCTCAGGATCACCTTGCTCCTTGGAGGTGAGCAGCTGTTGTGGAGGCGGTGAGGGCCAGGAGTGCCTCCAGTGTCTCACTGGGGATAACTGCAGGTGGGAGGATGAGATTGCGTCTCCCTCCTGTGGTCCTCAAACCTGAATTTACCAGGTGCAGGAAACTATGTTTGGCCTTGTCCTTTTATTTTTCCTGAGTTTAGTTAGGGAATCTTGTTCCCGTAACACGGAAGAAGATGAGATGGTAGGTGAGAGCGAGCAGCCAGGGAGACTCAGTACTTCTGGAAGGCTGCTTAAAACACCGCTTTCGTGCTCGGGTCAGTGCACCGCGTGTGTGATTTGGGTTTCATTGGAATCATTCGCCACAGATGTAATTTCCATAGGCGGTTTGACATGCAGCCCTCTGGGAGCTGTTCGGTCTGTCGGGATTTCGGGGAGCAACCCCGTGGGGCCGATGCGCTTCCCCCCCAACCCCCAGAGGGCGCTGTGGGCGCCTCCGCCGCACTGCCTGCGGCGTCCCGGGGAGGAGCCTCTCGTGCAGCCGCCGCCGCCTCCGCGATCGCAAACCCGGAAGACGCCTCTGGCAGCTGGACTGTGCGGGCCGGCCCGGCACGGCCATGCAGCCGCTGGAGGTAGATCTAGTTCCCGCTCCAGCGAGGGAGCCGAGATTGACCCGCTGGCTGCGTAGAGGCAGTGGGATCTTGGCGCACCTGGTAGCTTTGGGCTTCACCATCTTTCTGACTGTGCTGTCCCGGCCGGGAACCAGTGAGTGTGCGGGGCGGGGCAGGGCCACGGAAGGGGGCGGAGCCGAGCTGCTGGAGGGGCCGCGTTCCGGAGCGCTGGAAGACGTGGAAGGGGACCCCGAGCAGGGGAAGGGTGGGCAGTGAGTGGTTATAAGAGCTGATGGGCGGGGCATGGGGAGTCCTGGAAGGATGGAGCTTTGGGCGGTAGAGGAGGTGGGGAAGAGGGCAGATGGTAGAAAAGACCGAACTAATACTTGTTTAGAGGCAGGGCTCTCATGGTTAAGGCGATGGACTGCTAGAAGCAGGGCTCTTGAAGAAAGATTCCAGTGAAGGACCGAGGCTGAGGTTTACTCTAGCACAGCTGAGAGGTGGCACATGGGGAACCCAAGCCAAGCTGGTGTGTGTTTGTGTGGAGGCCCCTTGACCATTCCTCTTTGCCCTGAGTTCAGGATTCTTCATTAGGCTTAGGGATGGCATGTAAACCTTTCTTCCTTGGTTCTTTGGATTCCACCTAGCCACGGAGGGGACAAGGGGGCAGGAACAATGGTGCCCAGCCATCAGCCTGTTCTCTTTGATTCTTAGGTCTTTTCTCCTGGCACCCTGTATTCATGGCCTTGGCGGTGAGTTTGGACTTCTCTCTGCAACGTATTTGTTCAGATATGCTTACCTTCACACCTGGGGAAACAAGCAGCGTTCAGAAAGCTCAGCCTTTCGGAGGCTCAGAGAGGTGGGGAAGACAGCTAGGGCCTCATCTTTCCCTGCAACCTATAGAATTGGGAAATTTGGAGGGCTGGGCCATAGGTTAAGTGTGAGGTGGTTGAGAAGGGTGGGAGGAGTGGAAGTTATTTCTCCACTGGGTCGTGAAAGGCAGAATTAGAAGGCATGTTGTCAAGTCGTTGCCCCTCTTGCCCCCTCAGTTCAGGAGGAAGTTTAACCTTTGCTGTTTGACTGGTCAAGGAATGGTCTGTGTGCAGCAGGAGATCCTGGTGGAAGTCCTTTAACCTTCACCCTTTGTCTTCTTTGTTTGGATGTGTGATAGCACCTCCTTTCTCTCTGGCCTCCAAGGTGACCTGAAGCTCACTGGCCCTCTCCTGTATTTACAGTTCTGCCTCTGCATGGCTGAGGCCATCCTGCTCTTCTCTCCTGAGCACTCCCTGTTCCTCTTCTGCTCCCGAAAAGCTCGGATCCGGCTCCACTGGGCGGGGCAGACCCTAGCCATCCTCTGTGCTGCCCTGGGCTTGGGCTTCATCATCTCCAGCAAGATCCGAAGTGAGTTGCCTCACCTGGTGTCCTGGCACAGCTGGGTAGGAGTTCTGACACTACTGGTCACTGGTGGCCAGGCATTGTGTGGGCTGTGCCTGCTCTGTCCTCGGGCAGCCAGGGTCTCCAGGGTAGCTCGCCTCAAGCTCTACCATCTGACATGTGGACTGGTGGTCTACCTGATGGCTACAGCAACCGTGCTCCTGGGTATGTACTCAGCATGGTTCCAGGCTCAGATCAAAGGTGCAGCCTGGTACTTGTGCCTGGCACTGCCAATGTACCCAGCCCTAGTTATTATGCACCAGATCTCCAGCTCCTACTTGCCAAGGAAGAAGATGGAAATGTGAGTGCTTCTGAACTCTCAATCTAGGTGGGATACTTACCTTGGACTTCAGTGGTTCCTTGGTGACCTTCAAGGGACCTACTTCAGAAGTGATCGGGTTTTGCACTTTGTGGTTGGGCCAGGGGCTGCAGAAACCCAAGCTGCTATTGTTGAAGGATGATTCTGTGGACTCCAGTGGGGAAATGTATTGGGAAGATAATGTACTGGAAGATAATAGAGAACTTGAGCCTGAAGCCTTCATTCTTAAAGGGAGGCAGAAGTATTAGGTGTTAGTGGGTGACAGTGGCTATCTTGCTTGTATACCAGATGAAGAGCTGAGTTCCTGTAAGTTATGAATGGCAGCCATGGCTGTTTGCCCCTGCCCTCCACCCTTTTGTTTTGTTTTTTTGAGACAAGGTCTCGCTCTGTAGCTAAGTTGGCCTGGGACTTACTATTTAACCCAGGCTAGCCTCAAACTTGTGATTCTCCTGACTCAACCTTCCAAGTGCTGGGATTATAGGCATGTTCCACCACACCCAGCACGGGTCCCTTTTGAAAAAGTAGTGTGAAGGAGAGAGCCCATGGGTCTTCCTTATGGTTCTCTTAGGCTCTGTTGTACAAGAAACCTTAGGTAAGTTCCATACCTCAGGACCTCAGTTTCCTCGAAAGTGAATGTTTCTAAACATTCTAAGTCCCTTCCATCTCTAATATTCACTGTCTTATCTGGTTGATGTCACTAGACACTTGAACCACTTAGCTGATTCGGGATGTAATTCTTACATTCATTCTCCCTCTACTTCCCTAAAGGGGAGCCCTTAAGAAATCTGTGCTGATTTGGCCCCTGAACCAGGGTACAGTCTGTGGAGAGAGGGTGCAGGAGAGGGTTTTCTATACTCCGTGACAGTAAAGGTACTAAAGTCACTTTAAAGTTTTTGGAGGGGCAGAAGGGCATTGACCTAACCAAGCCTTTGGCTCTTGACTGGGCTCCTTAGCTCAGTTGAGAACTTCCTTCAGCGCACCTGGGGATCAGGGCTGCAGAGGCTCAGGGCAAAGTATTGCCAGTTATCTTGTGCTTTGCCTGTCTTAGGGGCTTGCCTTAGTTCGTTCCTTCATGGAGCAATTCTGAAGCTTTTAGAACAAAATAAGGGCCAAGGAGTGGGCTCTTTTGATCTAAGGGAAACAAACTGTCCCCAGATCCCCTTCTCCTGCCATTTAAGCTTTCCTTAGTTGTTCTCTCCTGCCAGTTCTTTGGTCCAAGAAGGGGCTGAGTTTAATGTCATCTGGCAAATGAGGGCTGGGCTCTTTTTCTGCAGAGACACCTCCTTGCTCTAACTGAAAGTAGTTCTCCAGACTGCCCTGGGTAATGAGGGCTGGATGCCAGACTAGTTAGCTGTGATCTTGCTCATTCTGGAGCTCTGGTGCATTCTGGAGATGAAGGACTGAAGGACTGAAGACAGCTGAGCCAGAAAATGCCAGCAGCATTTCATGCAGGGAGATGCAACCCACTGGAAACTTTAGGAGGCCTGGGGTGTAGGGGCTGGAGCTCTGGTTCCTTGGACCAGGGAGAGACATTCCTCCATGTCAGTATAGGATGTCCCAGGTCTTTCCAAAAATTCAGGGCCTCCTCACCAGGTGGCTCAGAAGCAAGAAGGCTGGTGTGATTCAGTAGCACAGGAATGGGAACTGCAAAGGCAGAGTTGACCTCACTATGCCTTTTCTTGCGTGAGAGGGCCTCTCCCAGCAGCTCTGTAAACATGGCACCTGAAGGAGGCCCCTGCAGTGCAGAGGGTGATTACTCCTGTCTCCTACTTGCCCACTCCTCGCTCAAGCTGCCCAATTAGTGTGACCCAAGTGGGTCACTTTGCTCCAAGGATTCCATCTCTTCTCCCCTCATCATGGCCAAGGATAGGGGTCTCTTCTTGCCTACACAGTGTGGGCCAGATAAGGTTCACAAGCTTGATCTGGGAGCAAGCAGGCAGGCAAAGCCGGGAATCCTGAGCCTGCCTGAGGTGTTGCCTCCTCCCAGGTGGTGCGGAGGCTGGTGGGCGGGCGGGCAAGCATGCTGACAGCCGGCAGTTTGCGTGGGCTGTGCCATCTGATGTCTATTCCCAGCCCTGGAGGAAGGGGAGTCATTTATATTCTGCAGGAGGAAGGGACCCAGCTGTCGCCTCTCTGACCAGTAGGCTTGGAGGGCAGGGGTACAGGTAGAAGGGAGGGCACAGGTAATCGCCTCCTGCTTAGCTGAGTCTGACTGCAGTATGGGGAGTAGGTCACCAGGAGGAGCTCTTCTTCCTGGCAGGCCAGATTGTGGGGGAACTTGCCTCCCCTCCTGTCTTTCCATTTCTCCCTCCATCACCACATCCTGGGGCGGCAGCTGGACAAGCATTAGACTTCAGTGCCAGGGCCCTTTTCCTCCAGCTGGGATCTCAGTGGCTGCTGGCCTCCTCTTTCCTACACCCTCTCGCCCCACCCTCTCTGGTATCTCCTAGTGTCAGGTATTAGCTGTGCTTCTCCATGGTGAGTCTCAGGTCTGCTCAGCTGAATGAAAGGGGAGAAGCAAATGGTTGTCCTTTGCCCTTGTTTCCCGACTAGGGAAAGCTACCAGTAGTCAGCTTGTTTTGCTAAAAAAAAAAAAAAAAAAAAAAGCCAGGGTGCTCAGCTCAGACAAAAAAAAAAGCCTGCCATTTGCACAGATTTCCATATCATGCTAAGTCCTGATTCTATATTTGATTATGTTCCAAGTTTGATTATATTCAGACTCAACCTTGAGGACATTAGGAATATAGATGGGTTTTGCTTCCAAATCCAAATGGTAATGGGATTACCATTCTGAGTTTGGATACCCTTCCCAAGTCTTCGTGGTTCCTGTAACCACCCCTTCCCTTGAGTCCCATCCGGGCTGGGGGTGGTGCTGAAATGGCAGACACTCCAAGTCTGAGGAAGTCTTCCAGCCTCACCTCCTTGGCTGTCATCCCTGTCCAAGATAGGATGCTATCACTTGCCAGCCTGTGCCTCCTCTCCCCACCCCTCACAAGGTAGGCCACCTTTCTTCATTCTTTGACACTGGCCTGTCCCTTCTTTCTCATTGTCCCCACCTTTCCACCCCCAAGCATGGCTGATGTGGCTCTTGTTTTTCAAACCTCACTGTGGGAGATCCAGGCGTCCTCCCTGAGCCAGCTGGCTGCTGTGCCAAGGCCTGTTCAGAGTTAATAATAATCATTAGTTGAATGGTGCTGGGGCCTTTCAGCTCCAGATCTAAGCACTCTCAGGCTGAGTCAGCCAGCCCTTACCTTCTCCCTCTTCCTGGGCTGTGGAGTGGAACAGAATGGGGAGGTGCTATGGGAGAAGAGGGAGCCAGGCTTCTTGCTGCCTTCTCTCCCCTGGGAGCAGGCACTGAGTCCTCTCAATAAGCTGATAAGGCCTGAACCCCTGACAAAGGTCAAGACAAGTAGGGAATATGGTCTGCTCTGCTGAGACGGATAGTGCAATGGTAGCTGATGACTCTGAATCTCTAGCGCTCCTGGCCTTTCTTCCATTTACCTGCCTCGTCCTCTGGGAGGCACCCTGCTCCTGATGCCCTCAGCAAACTTAGGAGCAGTGACGCTGGCTTAATGCCCCTAATGCCCTTGTATCTGAGACACACAATGCGCCTGTGCATCATGAAATGAAAGGCGCATCAGTCTGGAAGCCAGGAACGCTGCTGGGTGGGTTTACTCAGCCCCTAACACTGGTGCAGCCGTGGGCAAACCACTGGCTACTCTACCTACCTCACAGGGATGTTGTGAGGGTTAGACAGAGGATGAATGTTAATAGGCACTGAAAGTTCAAAGCATTAAACAAATGTAATCAGGCGGTACTGTTATGTTCTGTCCTTTTCTCTCTTACTGAGCCTGGCTCTGGGAACAGTGGTGGTTAATGATGCTTGGAAGGACCCAAGTCTCAAAGAGGTTGTGCTGGTCATAAGAGAGCACAGCCACATTTCTTCCTTCAAGATGCAAGGTCAGCTTTTAGCCAATCCTGCCACAAATGCCACCAAAGCCATGATTAGTGAGATTTTCCCTAAGAGCTACCTACCTGGTATTTTCAAGGCACCAGGCCGACTGTGAGTCTTGGTACAGTTGCCCCCAGGTCTAGCCTGCAGTGCCTGAGCTTCTGGTCACAGGTTATCTAAATCTTTCCTCCGGTTTCCCCTCAGTGGCCTCAGGCCCTGGAGATGCAGAACTGTGAGGGACATGGCTCCTGGCTTGCAGGGGCCCACAGCTTGGTTTCCCTCTCCCTGCTTCTGGCTCTTTCAGCAGGATCCTAGTCTCTTCCTCCTCCTCAAAATGCTGTATTGGAATTAACTCACATGCACAAGTGCGTGTGCGCGCATATACGCACACGCGCGACACGAAAGCAGTTGTTTAAATTTGAAATTAGATGTAGGATACTTGCCATTCCACTTGTCTGACAGCAGGCTGTAGTCGGCCAGCAGTGGATACAGAGAGGTAGAAGCAACAGCAATGGCTTATGTGTTCATTTTTGTTTGTCTGTTTTGTTCTTTAATCTGAATTGCTTTTTCTGTCCTGGGATCCAGGAATCACTAATTGGGTATTGTGGTCATAGCCTCAGCCATTCTTGCCGGCATGGGCACAAAGAAAGAAGCTAAAGGGTGGGAGGACTGCCCTGGAACTGCCCTGGAGCCTGGGTGGAAGGAGACAGCTCAGGCGCTCATGCCTGGCACCGGGATGCTGAGTGTAAGGGCCATGGCTCCTGGCTGTACAGGCTTAACACAGACATAAAGGAGCTCTAGTACAGTAACTGGCCCCAGGCTTGACTTGTCACCAGTGTGGTCAGAGAAGAACAGTCCATTTTTAATCCCTCTGCTATTGTTAGAATTTCCTGGATGACTTTTTAACCCTTCTTGCAAGCAGACTAAGCTGTCTCACTGAGTATACATGAGTGGTCCCCAGGTCCCCTATTTTTAAAGTACATCTCCAGTACATTCTAAGGATGTTCTTAGGCCACACTGAAGTACGACCAAGTGAGGGAGCAGTGGGAAGCAAGGGAAAAACAACACATAGTGCTACCTAACTCTAGTGTCCCCAACTTGTGTGCACGAACACATGTGGGTTCACACACACCCAGCTTTGGGGGGGTGATGACTTTCGCCTTAAGTACGCCTGTAGTGAAGGACATTGGAAGTCCCACTGCAGGACTGCCTGTCCTGGTTCTCTCGGGCCATGGCTCTCTGCCCTCTGTGCTCCAGGGACAATAAATAGGCTGATGCAGACTGGAAGGCTTTAGGGCATGCCTAAGTATCTTCCACTTGGTGGTATGTAAACCTGATCAGGGTACATTACTGCAGCTGCTTTAGCCTCTCAAGCCCTAGGAGACGAAGTATCCAGCACGGACTCACTGTGGTCTGACCAGAAAAACCAACTGTCCTACTGCAGGGACTAAGCTTTTTCTGCCACGTGTGTGGGGAAAGTGAAGCCTTGGTTTCCTGGGAGATAAGTGGTACAAATGCAGAAAGGGGAGGAGTTGAGAGACCAGGCTGAGGAAAGACAAGGGTAGCCCATGCACTGAACTCTCATTTTCTGTTCTAAAGGACAGTTGTCACATCAGCCTCCACCAGTTCCCCTCAAATTTGACTTTAACAAGAGGAAAAAAAAAAAAAAAGAGTAGGAGAAGTGCTGCAAGATTGGCGGACAAAATTGCACATCTTGGCCAGGATTTAGGGAAGTTCTGGTGGCTTGGGGGTAGGGCAGGGCAGGAAGAGTGAAAGAGGTACTACCATGGACTTCTTTGGGATGATGGAGAGAAGAGTACCAAAACTCAGGCTCAAATGGTAGTCTCCCCGAGTCTGTTCTCTTTATCAGCTGCATCCTCTCGGCCAACCTGTCAGCCAGAGCAAAAACTGCTTCGCCAAGATGAATAGCTATATAAGTGTGGACTACGGGAGAGAGCACTGACATCAACAGCTATCATTTCATCAGCAAGGTTGATTTGTCTGATGTGAGGTGTCACTGTTCCTCACCTGCTCAACTGTTTCTCTTCCAACTGGTTGTGATTCCAGATATGTAGATTAGGTAATTGTATAAATTCGGATTCCTTTTTGTTGTTTTTGAGGCAGGATCTTGCTGTGTGACCCAAACTGGCCTAGAACTGGCAGTCCTCCTGTCTCAGCCTCCCAAGTGCTGAGATTACAGGTGTGTGCCACCATACTAGGCCAAATTCTGATTCTTTTTATTTCTTTTTTTCCTTATGACATCTCCTCCCTCCTTTGTTAAACACCATGACAATCCCTAGCCAAAGAATTTTCCTGGTTAATAAGAGTTTAGAATCCAATTCAATTTATGCCAGGCTACAACTGCAACAAAAAAGTTTGGATTGCATTTTTTTCCGTTCTACAGAAGGCTTAGGACACATTAAACTCTCAAGTGAGTATTAGCCTACACATTAGAGGAACAAACTCTTAGCCTAAGATGGTTACCATATACAACATGAAAATATACTGGCAATAATCAAAATTTTGTGAATGTGATCTTTCCCACCATTAAAAAAAAAAGCCAATCCAGCATTTTCCCCCAGTGCCATTAGTAAGCTGCATGTAGACTATTAAGAGAACACTTCAGGAAACCAACCCTCCCATCCAGGGACCCAGGAAATCACTATCTACAAGCCTCAGCCCAGGCCATGGGAATGTTAAACTCTAGCCTGCTAAAGCCATGGTGACGTTTCCTTGGAGACTGTCTCAGAGGTTGCCAAGCAATGGTCTGATGGTCAGACCAGCCCACTGCCTAGTTTTGTGTCATCTCTGAGCTAACCATAGTTTTTACATTTTTAAATGATTGAAAAAAAACTAAAAACATTTAAGTTCTATAAAGTTCAAATTTTAATGTCCATAAATAAAGTTTCATTTGATTCTACAGTTTGGCTATGGTTTGAGTTTGTACCCCCAAAGATTCATTACCGGAAACTTGGTCTTTACTGTGGTGGTGTTGCGAGGTGGTGGAACCTTTAAGAGGTGGGGCCTAGTGGGAGGCAATTAGGTTATCGGGGCATTCCTCCTTAGAAGAGATTAATCCATTCTCATGGGACCGTAGTCAGTACCCACAAGAGTAAGTTATAAAAAGAGCAAGCCTGACTCTCTGGCTTCCTGCCTTCCCATGTTAGCCCTTCTACATGTCCTCCCACCATAATGACGCAATCCACCATGAGGCCCTCAGAGATCAAGTGGATGGGCCCACCTGATCTTGGACTTTCCCCCTCCAAAGCTATAGGTTAAGTAAACTTTTTTCTTTTATAAAATACTCAGCCTTGATTATTTTGTTATAGCAACAAAAAATGGACTAATACATTGAAAAAGAACCACAATCATTCATTTATGTACTGACTGTGGATACTTTCCTGCTATAGCAGCACATTTGATCTGGCTCATGACAGAAGACTGCTGGCTCCTAGCCTGTTGTAATGCCTAGAGGTGGAGCTGACCCATGACCTTGTAACGGCACTTAAAGATTCCCTCCCTAGATAGACCACATCCTTTTGAGGTACACTGAACCCTACCCACAGGCTGAAAAGATAAAATAAACCAGCCACAGACTATGCCAGAACAGAGACTCAGCCAGGTTTAATGGTCATTGTCTAATTAGCCAGCCTAGGTATACACAGTGGGAGGAGGGGGAGAACAGGGTCTTGGACATAGGAGAAGGAAGAACAGAGGTAAGAACACACACAAAACTGGAATCAATTGACTTTGTGCTCCCCAGCTGGGGTGTACCCTCTCCTTGCCCCTTCCTGGGAACCCTATAATTACAAGCAAAGAAAAAGATCACAAATAATTACATAGACATATTGTAGAGCCCTGTCATATTCTGTCTCCAGGGACACCTGCTTCCTGGGAGACATGTCTGGTTTATGGATACAAGGGGAAGGGAGGGGAGGAGAGGAGGTATTCTCTCAGCCTTTCCTTATAACCATGCCTGGCGGTTTCTACCCAGGATTCGAAAGGGCTTATGTATGCTGAGTATTCATTCCCCAAGGAGAAAGCTACCTGTGAGTTCTACCAACTGAAACCACAAGAGGTCAGAGAGTTAAATTCTTGGTGGGGTAGCCAGGCACATCTTCCAGATGTCTCAAACTTGGATGCCAAGTTAGTGGATGTAGTAGAGAGAGTGAGAGCTGCTCCTAGTCCTGAGGAGCTCAGCTAGAATGCCCCAGAAGGCCTGCTTCATTTGACATCCACTTTACCTAAAGAGTTTCAGAGCCCTGGATGAGGCCTAGATGGGAAACTGCAGCATGGAAAGAGTCCTGGTTCCCGTATCTCTGCTGAGGAAATCCTCAAGTCTCTTAGAATACAATCAGACAATTTGTCTCTCCTATCTCTGTCTTATCAGACAGTTAACATATGAAGAGAAACTCACAACTGCTTGGCCCTCTACCATTTTCCCTCAGGGTCCTTCATTGTTCTTGCTCTAGCTTAATGTCTCATTATACATAGTCTTCAAGAAAGTTTCCAAGGATTCTGAAGAACCAGCTAGTGCCTCACTACCTTTCTTCTAAGGTCTTCAACCCATGGTCTCTCCAACTCCAGTTTTGCATAGAAGTGATTCGGAGCCCTGGAGATACGGGTGAAGATTCATGGAGTTCAGAAACTAAAGTATAAATGATTGTGTATTTGAGGAGCCTGGCCTGGTCGCTGTCTCTCCCACATAGGTGGGGACCGTTCTGGGAGCGGTGGCACTAGTGGGGACTACAGATTCACTGTCCTGGTGGAGGTCAAGGTGGTGAGCATGCGTACTATGAGCATGCGTACTATGAGCATGCAACTACTTGAGGGGAATTGCTGCACCTTTCTTGACAAAACTAGGTTACTAATAAAGGATGGACAGCCGCCTTGAGATCCCAGGAACAGACAAGGGGAAGATGGTGACTTCCGGTCCCCTTCCCTAATCTTAACAGGCAGTGTAACAGGCCCTCTTAGCAAGCAGACCTCACCCATAAGTAAATAACACCTCTTGGAACCCAAGAAGCAGGTCAGAAAACTAGAAGACCTGGAGAACTTCTAACTGACAGGAAACATGGGAGACACTGAAAAAGACCAACATCCGAGAACATTTTCACCTTTGCACTGCTCATCCCTCCTGCCGCAGCTCAGCACAGCCACCTCCCAGGCCTGCAGTATGGTCAAAGGGACGAGTTCAGGGGAGCAGTAGCTCCACACCCACAACCTTGAATGCTGAAACCTAAGCAAGGCTTGTTCTTATGTTCCTCTGGCCTGACAACCACACCACAGACCTCTGACTGAGAGGAATGGGCGGCAGAACTTTGAGGTTTAGTGCCACTGGTTGCCTTTGCTACAGGACTGCTTGGGGCCTGGTGTGTGTGGGAGGGGCAGAACTTGAAGCCACACCCCAAATTACCATTCTGGGACAGAGACTACTCAGTTTCTGACCCCTCCAATGACAAAAATCCCAAGCTTTGGCTTTGTAGCAGAAGTGAGATCTCTGAGGGGAGCAAGACAGCCTTGGCAACATAGAAGACACATTCTGGGTCCTCCCATCTCCAAGCCCAGTCTAACCAAGCTGCGACCAGGCTTTATTGGACTCTTCCCTTTGCAGAGCAGCATTTTAGGGAAAACTCAGAATCCATTCAGGAGACTGAATGGAGATATACACAGAAAGTCAGGTAAGTCTAACTGGCTGCTACATCATAGAAGCTGGTTCACCTCATCCTTCTGGGAAGAGTGGTTCATGTACCACACCTGTGGCAGGCCTTCAGCAGCTCCCTCCCTGGTCTGACACACAGATACCGGGAAGCAAATGGTAACAGAGGGCTTCCCCAGCCAGGGAATTGGCCTACCTGGAGTTCAGCCCTAATCTACAAGTTCTGTGCTAGAACCTATGCTGTGTCAGGGACCCCTTAGGTCACGCTGTACCTACCTGTGCCACTGGACCCAGGTCAAGGCACAGATACCACATCCCACATAGCTGCTGTAACTCATAGGCAAGAGGCCAGGCTCCTGCAAAGATCCAGCCACTCCAGGCTCATGGGGAAAGAAGGCGGCTTTAGTGGGAAGTCTCACAGCAGCTATAGGGAATGTTACTGATCAAGGTCTTGGCCCTTTTCTGACGCATTTGCAAAGATTCCCAATTCCCTAGCCGTGAAAAGGGACTTCCTGACCAAAGATGATACTGCAGCTTTCCCAACGTGGCTCCCGTGGAGGCTCCCCCAACACTCACAACTTCACAGGTGTGGGTGAGCAGAGACAGAAAAAAAATGTTTTTCAAATGGTTTTCTCTTAAGGAGCTAGTGATGAACTCAAAAAAGTTTAGGGGATCTGCTCTTTCCCTCACCCCTTCCTCATTCCCAAGCAGCTTGGACATGATCCTCTTCCTCTACCACACTGAAATTTGCCAGGGCCTCAGGGAGGGGTGTAGCATTTGCCTGAGGATGAACACATCTATATTTGAAACTCGAGGCAGTCACACCCTCATTGGGGTCTTGCCTGCTGTTGGGCCTGTGACTAATTCCCTGGAGGTCAGGAGGAACCCACTCCCTTGGGCAGCCAGCCCTCTCTTCCATCCCCTCATATCCTTCAGGGGTGCATTACCTCTCCTGGGGCACAATCACCCCCACCAACCTATCCTGCTCACACCACAATGGGTGTATCAGAGAAGACCGAGCTGACCGATTCTGGATCTGACATCCTCCGTTGGCCCTTGCCTGTTGCCTCTGGCACTGGCAGAGTGTTGCCTGGCTTGAGCTTGCCGTTTTGACCCTGCCCAGGTCCAGCAGGTTCCAGGAAGGCCACCCGCCGGTCAAAACCATCATCTTTGTCCCCGCCAGCCATAGGATCGTGGTTGGGTGTGGTACTAAGCATAGAAGAGCTGAGGCTATCTCCTTGATGGCTGGAAGGCTTCTCTACACCCCGGCACCAGCAGCGGCAAGGGGTAAGGTACAGGTATATGAGAACCAGAACCACACTGAGGATACAACCCACTAGGGTGGTATAAGCTGTGTTGAGGGTGTCATGGTGTCCATGCGAGGAGACGTTGTAGACTTTCAACTCCACAGACAGTGTCTCATTGAAAGTCTCCCCCATGGCATAGCAGGTATACACACCCCCATCCTGGAACTGCACCTGCTCAAAATGAAGACTGCCATCCTTGGACACTGTCACTGTGCTATTGGCCCCGTGATTTAGCACCCGTTCATTGCTTGGTGACACCCACACCTTGGTCATCCCCTGCTGCTTGGTGTCACACGTGATGGTCAAGCTATCGCCCAGGTGGGCCTCCCAGGCACTCTCCTTGTACTCACTGCAATTGAGGAAACCCAGGTTGAAGACATTGTAGACCTTCTTGGAGTTCACGCAGCACAGATCCTCCTGAAAGTCCATCACCGAACTCAGCTGCCGGTACTGCCAGTGAGAAAGGAGCTGGTAGAGGTCACAGTCGCACTGCAGGGGGTTGTTATGGAGGTACAGCCCATTCTTGACCCAGGCTGGCAGCTTCTGCAGTTCGCTCAGTGGCAAGCGATTCAGCTTGTTGGAGGACAGATCTAAGAGCATTAGTTTGGGTAGTTTGTTTCCTTCCTTGACCAGTTCCAGAGGGAAGCGGGAGATCTGGTTCTGGCTCAGGTAGAGTTTCTGCAGCTGGCCCATGTCGTCGAAGGCGTAGCGGTCCACCACCATGATGTGGTTATTATAGAGCAGCAGCACCTCCAGAGCTTGCAGTTCGCTGAACAGGAACTCGTCCAGGGTGCGCAGCTGGTTGGAGGAGAGGTCCAGATAGCGCAGGTTGGGTACCGGGGAAAAGGCCTCCGAGGAGATGAAGTTCAGGTGGTTGTGGCTCAGCAGCAGGGAATGCAGGTGGGTCAGTCGCGTGGGGGTCCACTCGGCCCGCAGGCGGCTCAGATTGTTGTGGCTGAGGTCCAGTAGTGCTGTGTAGCTGGGCAAGGAGTGGGGCACATTGGGCAGCTGCTGCTTGGAGCAGCTGAGGATGTTGCTGGCGCACAGGCAGGCGGTGGGACAGCTAACCACAGGTCGGCCAGCTCTGGCCACCTCAAAGAGGAGCAGGAACAAGGAGAGCAGCAGGAGCCAGAGGCCTCGCAGGTCACGCTGGGGTTGCATAGTGTCACTAGGGAGGATGAGGAAGGCCACAGGAAGATTTGGGAGGGAGTCACCCCGGCATGTTCTGGTGGGAAATGGAAGGGTTACTTTCACCACAGGTTTGAGAGAGAGCTTGGGTTTGTAGTCACCAGGGACTCTGGAGAGCAAAACCACCAATCCCACTTCCTCCTCCCACCCCTGCCCCCACCCCTTTGGGCTAAAAGGAAAAGATACTGGCTAGTTCCCGGGCTCTGTGCGGGCAGACAGTGGGCTCCAATCACTGGGGCAGAACAGGAGGTGGCACAAGGGCCTACTGGGCTGTGATCGCGGATGTAGGATGGGGGTACGCACAGGATGTCCAGAACTGTTGGGGTACCAGGGATTGCGCGGTCAGGTTTGGAGGCGGGGTTAACAGGGCCTTTGGGGAGCCGCTGAGGGAAGGTCATCAGGGCGCCAGACTGGGAAGGGCGAGTCCTCATGAGGTTGAGCGTCCCCGGGGCCTGTCGGAGCGGGCTCCCCCCCCGGAGCCTCGGGTCACTGCACCTGCTCGGCGAGGATGTGTCTCAGCCCATGGTCAGTCCCGGAGCTCCGTCGCGGCCTCCCCCGGCGGCGTCTCACTGGCCGGCCTGTCACGGCGCCCGCCTTACGCAGGGGCCCGCGCCCCGCAACATCGCCTCCAGGGGACTTGCCAGCTTCCCTCCTGCTCTCCCGCGCTGCTGCCTCGACCGCCGCGCCAGCCGGAGCCCACCGAACACGGCCGCCGCCACCGGATCCGCGGGCTCGGCGTGGAGCAGTGCGGAAAGCGGGAGGCGCCGCGATCCGAGCCGAGGGAGCGGCGTGGGGGCAGCGAGCACCGCGCG